TAGAATAGTGGCTGTGTGAATGGAGAGAAAGGGGCACATACAAGAGACATGGTGAAGGCACAAATGACAAAAATTGGCAATGGACTGGATATGTGGAACAAATGTGAGGAGTCAATGATAACACCAAGATTTTGATCCAAGGTGACTAGGAAGGGGATGTTGCTTCCCTTAAGAATAATAGGGGTGCTGGAGAGAGAGGAGGGTTTGAAAGCAAATATGATGAGTTATTTTGGACATGTTGAGTTCAAGATGCCTTTGGAATATCTGGTTTGAGATGGCCAAAAGGCAGTTAGTGATGTGGGACTAGAGCTCAGGAGAGAGGCCAGAGTTGGATATATAAATTAGGGAATCATCTTCATAGAGATCATTGAACCCATGGGAACCAATGATATCACCAAGTAAGATAATACAGAATGAAAAGAGAAAAGGGCCCAAAACAGCATAAGCTGTGCTGATCTACTTTGGGATTTCTGACTTTTTCTACCATGCTTCCAAGTCCACCACCATCTCACCCCACTTTTCAGTTTCCTTTTGTTTGTTGTCTTCCTCCATCAGATTTGTAAGCTCCTTAAGAGCAAAGACTATTTTTTCATATCTGTATGCCCAGTGCTTAGAACAGTGCCTTCTACATAGTAGGTGTTCAATAAATATTTATCAACTGATCTGCATTAGTACAGGATTCTCTTCAGGAGCTCCACATGCTGATGAAATCATGAGTCTGGTCCAAAAAAAAATAGGATACACAAAAAGCAAGTGATGGATGCCAAGGAGTCTGGACTTTATTTTATGGGTAATGAGGCATCATTGGAGGGTTTTTGTTTGTTTTCAGGAAAGAATGTATGATCAGAGCTGCAGTTCATGAGTAATCATAGCCTCAAGATCTAACTCAAATGCTACCTCTTTGGTGAAGCTTTCCCTAATACACATAAAAACCCTCTTCCTCTTCTCAATTTCCCACAAAATTTTGTTGTAATCTTTTTATGCTATATTAAAGTTACTTTCACATCTATCTTATCTCGCCTACCATACAGCTAGGTCCCAATAAATACAAATGATGAAGCCTCTGAAATGTTCATTTACCTGAATTCATACTAAAGTCACAGTTATCTAAAATATGGTAATTGATTCCAACCCCATGGATATGTGCAGTTCAGATTATAATGCAACATAAATTATCTTTGTTGAAATGCTTCTATCCTTAAGAAACTTTCAGTACTTCCTTATTTCCTCCACAATCAAGTGCTAATCCTTCCAGCTGACATTCAAGGCCTGCCATAATCCAGTTCCATTAAATTTAGCCAACTATATCATCCGCTACTTCTTTACACTATCTTCTACTAGACTTTGAGTGCCTAGGGCAAGGATAACCCCTTCCAATCCAATAGCTTACTAAATATCTACTATGAGCAAGGTACTGGGATTACAGACAATGAAAACCAGTCCCTTCCATGAAGGGAGTGATGTTCCATTGTTGGGTAGGGGGCAATACAGCATATAAGCAGATATATGCATTTTCAAATCCCAACCACCTTGCAAAAGGGCTTACACAATGTAAATGGTCGATAAATATCCACTGAAACAAATATGGTTCAAGATAGGAGAAATACCAGATTTTCATAGAAAGAGGCTGCCCAAGGAATCAGGAAATGATATACTACAAGTCACTTCTTGGTCATCTTTCCTGGCTACAAAATCAACCAAACAAATCTATTCTCCACTTTGGATGTAAAGCACAATGAAAGTATACCAAATGGATTACTTAAAAAGAAACCTCCTTCCTCCCTACCCTAAAACAGACACTACAATATCTGCTATGTGGGCTGCTAGGTGACAAAGTGGATACAGCGCTGGGCTTGGAATCAGGAAGACGTCTTCCCGAGTTCAAATCTGGCCTCAGACACTTAGTAGCTGTGTGACTCTGGGCAAATCACTTAACCCTGTTTGCCTCAGTTTTTCTCATCTGTAAAATGGGCTGGAGCAGGAATGGCAAACCACTTCAATATCTTTGTCAAAAAAAAAAATCCCAAATGGAGTCATGAAAAGTCAGACATGACTGAAAAACCACCACCATGACAAAATCTGTTACATACTTTAAAAGGACCAACTTGTGGTGCAGCTGGTGGCGCAGTGGATAGAGCGCTGGCCCTGAAGTCAGGAGGACCCGAGTTCAAATGCAGCCTCAGACCAAACACTTGACACTTACTAGCTATGTGACCCTGGGCAAGTCACTTAAACCCAATTGCCTTAAAAACAAGGACCAACTTGTTTGTCAGTGGAAGTCATGCTGCAAGCTTCTGTGGAATATTTCATAGGCTGCTAGGAGTGGAGAACCTGCGGCCTTTTGACAGAGTCCAAGTTTTCAGAACAAATCCTTTTATTAAGGGGATATATTCTGTGAAATTTGGACTCAAAGGTCCCCATGTGGCCTTGAGACTGCAAGTTCCCCTCCTCTAAGTGTGCCTAAAGAAGGGAAACAACATAGTTTGTCATTTCAGGCAAGGATTTGAACCCAGGCCCTTTAACTCCAAATGTAGGACATTTTTAATTCCCCCTTACCTGCCACCAACTTATTGCAGGTCCTTATCATTCAACACATGGACTACGGACACATGGATAGCCTCCTAACTATTCGTCTTCTCTCAGAGGAAAGGATTTGGTCCTTGACAATAAGCAGATCAAAAAAACGAGGAAGACTACCAAACCTGTCCAGCACCACTGTGTGTAGGTGAGCAAAGAAGAGGAAACGGACAGGAGCAACTGCTCTTTCAATCTTACTTGGCCCAACAACCATGACAACTCATGCCAACCAATTGGTTTACCAAGCTAGTGTGGAAATATCAAATTATCTTTTAAAAAGGCATTCGAGTGCTAGGCTGGTTTTGCAGTACAATGATTTGGGTCCTTTGGTCATGGAAGATCTAAGAGAACTGCCTCTAGGAAGGGCCAGTTACCTAGCTCTCTTGGGTTTCTCTACTGCTGTCAGTTAAAGATTAGGAAAAGACTGTGCCACCAGGCTGAGGAAGGCCTCACTAAGCTGTTAATTACACGGCACTAGTGGGGCCCAGATCTGGAGACACTTAGTGGCTCTTCTTCAATTCTGAATTTTCATGAGTAGAGCTAGCAACCCTTCCTCAAACTCAAGATTTCATTTTTTAATTAATGACCGATCAGAGAAGCTAGATGGCACAATGGATAGAGCTCTGGCCTTAAAGTCAAGAAGACCCGTTCAAGTCTGACCTCAGACACCTGACACTTTCTGTGTGACCCTGTGCAAGTCACTTAGCCTGAATTGCCTTACCAAAAAGCAAAAACAAACCAAAAAAACCAATTTACATAGTACCTTAAGGTTTATAAGGCATTTTACAAATATCTCATTTTATCCTCACAATTTATTATCCCTACTTTACAGATGAGGAAACTGAGGCAAAAATTAAGTGACTTGCCCAGTCACACAGCTGGTAAGTGTCTGAGGCTGAATTTGAATTCGGGTCTTTCTGAGATCCAGCATTCTATCCACTGCTCTACCTAACTGCCTTTATGATAAAGATATAGAGAGCATTCTCAGAGTTAGATGACAATGTCCAGCTGGAAAGCTAACTTATTAGCTAACAGAATCCAGAAAGATGTGGATAGGCTAGAATTTAAGGCTGAATCTGATACAAATCATTTGGAATAAAATATAAAGTCTTCTACTAATATATACCTTTACAACACAGGGTGGTAGAGGCACGGTTAGTTACCATTTGTCTAGGGGAAAAGAATTATCTAGATGTTTTAATGGATCGGAACCTCATTATGAATCAGCGATGTTCTATGGCAACTATAAAAGCTAATGCGGTCTTGGGCTGCATTAAGAGTATCATAGTTTCCAAGAGTAGGGTGGCAGTTTTGCTGCTGTGCTCTACCTAATCAAACATCTGTATTATTGTTTTCAGTTCTGGGCAGCCTAGTTTAAGAAGCACAATAATAAACTAAAGAGCATTCAGAAGAGGGCAGCCAGAATGATGAAGGACTTGTGTTCATGGCATGTAAGGAGTGGGTGAAAGAACTGAGTATGTTAAGGCTGGAGGAGGGAAGATCTGAGTGGGACCCGATAACTGTGTTCAGGTACGTGAAGGGCGGCTGCATGGTTTAGCCTTTTTCTGTCTGGTCCCACAAGGCAGAATCAGGAACAATATGTAGAAGTTACAAAAAAGCAAATTCAGGCTTTGACTACAAAAATCAGTATTCCTTCCTGGTATGTACCATGAAGGAGCTAGGCCAGGAACTAAAGATACAATTCATTCCCAGCAGAGGCTAATTTGGGAAGAAAACCCTTAAGGTAAACTTTGCATATTTTACCACTTGCTTAAAGAATTTCACAAATTTAAATCTGACTTTATGGAAGGTACCAAAGATGCAAAAAAAAAAATTGTTTTTCACTCATGCCTAACTCTTCATGACCTCGTTTTTCTTGGCAAAGAAACTAGAGTGGTTTGCCATTTCCTTCTCCAGCTCATTTTACAAATGAAGAAAGTGAGGCAAACAGTTAAGTGACTTGTCCAAGGTAACACAGCTGGTAAGTATCTGAGGCCAGATTTGCCCTCAGGAAGATGAGTCTTCCCGATTCCAAGCCTAGCACTCTATCTACTGTACCACTTAGCTTCCCTTCTAGTCCTGTCTCTGCCATTAAGTAGCTCCATGGCCTCAGGCAAAAAAATCACTGTCTCTAGGTCTGTTTCTTCTAATGGAAAATTAAGGGATAAAAAAATTTCCTATTTCCCCTAAAATTCTACCCATCATAGATTGTGCTTATCTTTATCCTGGTATGAACTCATGTTCCCATCTAGCCCTGGGTTTGGAAAGAGTGACAGGAAGGCAAGCAGGAGATGAAAGGAGGTGATCCACAAATAGATTATATCAAATAGTTTTTTAAAAGAAACATAGCTTGAAGATGGAATTTAATTGAGGGAGAAAATGACAATGAAGTCTTTGTCATTTTGAGATTATCATACCTTTACCTCAAAGTCTTTAGTGTCTTCTAAAATCTCACGCAGAAGGCGTATATATTCAGTTGCCGTTTTAAGAATGTCCACCTTATTGGGCTTCCTGTCTTTGGGAAGGAGTGGCACAATGGCCTTCAATTTGGAAAATCCACGATTTAGATTTTTTATCTAGAAAACAAAATTCAGACATTTATTAAGCATTTACTATGTATAGAATCGTCTGGCTGAAGCACAAAGTTGAGATAAGACAGGATTCCTGAGCTCATGGACTTACAGACTAAAATGGGGGCATAAACCACAAACAGCTAACAAAACTATACATAGTACCCAGAGGCACCCCTCATCTAGAATAATAGGTCCCTCAGACAAGGTTACTCGTGATTCAAGATATGCCTCACTGATATATTTACTTTTATCGGTCAATTGGGGCACACGATTAACCCAAGGTATGTCATTTGATGAAATAGTATAGAAATAAAAGCAATAAAAAACATCTCCCCTATAACCTTGGAGTTGTAAACAAATACACACCAGTGGGAAGAACAGACACATGTAGGCAACACATGTTTTCATGGTCATTCTTGTAGGAGTATGTCTGGAATACATATATGGAAGGGAAATTTATATCTTCCATGAGGCAAAGCCATTGATATTTTCTAATGATATCCGTTCCCACTAGGGAAAGTCCACACTAGCAGGTGCTCCTCTTGGCATATAATCTCTATTTGTCACTTCATATCTGCCAGACACTATAAGGCATTCTGGGTACCTGCTGGGTATATAACTATAGGTTTCTCTTCTCTGAGCTTCTTTGTTCAGTTTGAAGTCTTCGGCTAATAAGTTCTCTTCAAGAAAAGAATGAACTCTGTTCTGCTCTTTTAGGTTAAAGTCCTGAAGGTTCAAATAACATATGTACACTTTAGAAAGTCAGTAGTCCTTCACTCAATCCTGGTCCAGCAAGAGTCCGTCTTGGGTGGGGAGAGGGGTTGAAACACAACTTCCTGACTTTTTCCTTTATGGAACAGCTGGCTTTATTCAGTTTTCATAGTCTTGACCAGGCAACCTCTCGTCTCTAGCAGATTTTTACTTCTTTATAAGAAATGGCGGTTACATTCCTGACTAAATATCCAGTGCCCACAGCCTCATGTTTCTCTTAAATTGAACTTCCTAGTAGGCAACATCATTCATAACTTAAGGCAAAGCTTCCATATACCTCATTTTTACTCTCTGAAGGCTAGAGTACATTAAATCACAACATACAAAGGGGCTATTTGTCTAACAATTGCCATAGGCTGTAAGGTTCAGGGTCCTGAATTTTCTCAGCTCCAAAACTTTCTGCTCTCTCTCTTACTTAGATTGGTAAGCATAGAGGCAAAGCTAAATCCAGGGATGGGGGTAAAGAGTTGGGGTGCCAAGTCATCGTCTGTCATACTAGCCTAGTCTCACTCCTGCCTTTCATATGCATATATGACAGCAAAACCTTCCGAGACTCAAGTCTGTCTTACTTTTAGAATATTTCAGAGAGGTACAAAATAAAGCATTATGTTAGGTCTGTAGTGGAAAGGGGGGAAAAAAACACCTAGAGCTTGAATATTTTAATATTTTGACTTTAGAGCCCATTGGAATAGTAAATAAACCAGAATAAAGAGTTAAAGGCAAGTATTAGCAGCTCATTTAACAGCTATACCGATTAGAAGCACAAAGAGGCCTCAAATAAAGCGTATATTATGTATAAAGTATATGTCACAGTTAGGAATTGGAACCAAAAGTTAAAAGGTACTCAGAGTAGTTATACCTACTCTCTTGGCCAGTAGGCCCACTCAGGATATCAAATTATACACCAAAGGTGTACTTGATGAATATCAAGTCAGAAGATAGAAGATACTTTAAAGGTTTTCTTAAATAAGCTATGACAGTGTGGTAAAACCTTTATTTCAGACCATAATGATCTTCCTGTCCAAAAGTTAAGGACCCATATTCTGAAATCAGAGAATCCTCCCATTTCAACACTAGAAAATCCATAGGTGACTCTTTTTAAAATTCATCTTTTCCAACATTCTAAGCTGATCCTTCAGCTTCTTAAGTCCTTCTTTTCTTTTACATTTTCCTCTAAAAACATTTATAACTATCAAGTTCTGGTTGAGAGCAGCAGTTTGGCACAGCTCTTAGGGGGCTAGTCTTAGAGTCAGGAAAATCTGGATTTAAGTCCTCTCTCTGGATGTTTTACCATAGGCAAGTAACTGGACCTCTAAGTACCATAGGCAGCTTATAGGTTACAGAGTAGTTTCCCATCTGCTTTGGTTAGAAGGAATTTCCACACTTGGAGTTAGCCATACTGATAGAACCACAGCAAACCTAAGAAGACAAGACCTACTTTATTGAAAATTGTGATAGCCTCAGAGACAACTGTATGCTCCTAGAGGGCAGGGACTATCTTTTGCTTTTTTTTTTTTTATCCCCAGCACTTAGCATACCTGACACGTAGTAGTCACTCAATGTTTGTTATTGATATTATTATGCTCTCCTTAGTGGGCCTATCCCCAGACAAGAAGGGAAATTTTTTTTGTCTTCTCACCCCACTATTTCTCCTTTCCAAAGTGGGGTGGGAATGGAGCTTCTCTAGACTCTAATGAAAATAATTCTTTAAAAAAAAATAGGGAAACAGATTGAGCAAGCATGTGGGTGTCAAACCCATTTGTAGTAGATGCCACCCAAGCTCTCATAGCTTTTAATGACTCACCCAGGTAACTTATCTGTAAGTGCTATTTGAAAGTTAGTATGACCATTTCCAGATAAGCTGTTCAAACAGATACAGGAAAATGACATGGCCCCTGGGGTATGACATAACATTTCTAAGTGACTGAGCATGACTATTGGACCATGCTAGTTCCCTAAGGATTTCTGACTTGGGATAATGCTATATCCCATTGCCAAATCTTGCTTAGGGAGCTCTTGTTTGCAGACCAGGTATTCAGACAGGTTAAAGAAACTTGGTTAGAAAAACGTCCATTCTCATTTGCTTCCATAAGATTTGGTAGGGAGCTATATTGATGCCATAGGATTACCATAGGATTATTTCCATAAAAGGAAACATAATAGTCTATTCAATCTCATTGAGTGTTGCTGTAAGGATGAATTAGAGAGGAAAGGGGAGTTATGGCAGAAACACACCCAGTGGGCTATCCAAAACACTAGCAACTCCATAATCGGAGGAAGCATTAAGTGAAAATCTCTGTGGGCTAAGAAACTCTTAAAAAAAAAAAGCCCACACAGTAAACTATTTCCTAGGAAATTCTGAGAAGCATTTGCACACCCACCCCCTTCTCCCTCCCACTCTTCCTAAACCAGCTAACAAAATACTCCAGCAACGTTAACAGTGGTTCTTCAGAATTGGGGATGACAGGGGTGGGTAGTGATATAAGCAGGGTGTCTCTCAACACTTCTGAGAAATCAGTCTTTGAGGGCTACTTCTGAGACCTCTCAGATTCCCAAAGTGAGAGTTGTCACAGACTGGCTGGCTGGACAGCTAGCTATGTGTGAGCATTACACACAAATATATAATCAAACAATCAAAACAAATATAATCCACATATATATATCAGAACCCCAAAACAAGATGTTTTCATAAAACTATGAGTCTCCATTTCATACTGCATGATTCAGTAAAAATATATATAAAAATTCTATGTTACTTTCAAAACTGCCATGTTTGTGCTTCCTTCTGTTCTTTTCTGTGTATTATTTTAAAAATACAGCCTTTCCTTATATATACTTTAAAAAAAAACAGAAGCCACATTGAAGAGTTTTGTAGTTCTTTTGCATCTAAATGAAGCAGCTGTAATTTCACATTTGGGAAAAATCTTGTTTTGGGGTTCTGATATATATATATATATATATATGTGTGATATATATATATATATATATGTTGTGTATATATATGTATATGTGTGTGTGTGTGTGTGTGTGTGTGTGTGTGTGTGTGAGGATTACAAACAAAATCAAGGACTTCGTGAGGGAGGGTGGGACAGTGTCCCTGGCTCTTTCGGAGATAATCTGAGGCTCATGCTCTGGGCATGGAAGGTCTAGGAAGGTCATTGAAATGAGAAGTTTAGCTTTAGACTACCTCCTGAACCACCTAAAATAAAAGTGGAAGGGAGGAGGCCACCAGGAAGTCAGCCCCCTTTCTAATCCCTTCACCCATTGAGACCATCACCTCACAACATCCCAAAGCATAGAGGTGGAGAGGAAGGGCGGGTAAAGGAAGTGAGAAACTGACGACTTGATTCTTGGGGGGCAAGGAGGTGAGGGGGGGAAGGGCCGAGAAGGAGGCGACCCGTGGTGCCCAGCGGGAGAGCCCTCACCCGCTCCCGTTCCTTGGCGTTGGCCACCTGCCGCCTCTCCAGCACCTCCTTCAAGTCCTCCGTGGAGGTGTAAGTGCCCGACGGCTGCCTCTTCATCCGGCTGATGGCTGCTAACTGGGGCCGGGTCCCAAACTGCTCCCTCAGCACCTCCTCCAGTACCTCAGCCCGGGGAGTGGCCTGGAAAGGTAAAGCGCAAGGCGGGGAGAGCTGCAGGTGCCTGTCCATGGCGCTGAAAGAGTGCGGGACCTGGCTCCGACCTGCCTGCTCCACGCGCCTTTGACCCAAAGTGGGAGAGGGAGCTGAATGTCTTCACCTGAGAGGGCTCAGGCGGGCACGTGTGTGCTCACCTGGGCAGACGCACGGGGGATGCCTCAGTGCAGTGGGGGCAGGGAGCTCCTTGACCCCCACACTTCTCACCCCCAGCCTCCCTGGGTAGCAGGAGGAGGGCAGGGTGAGGAATACAGGATGCCCTGGTTGTTGGAGCCAGGAGAGACTGGAAGGAGCATAGCAGAAAAGCCGATGACCTCTAAGACTGTGTAGTTCAGTTATAGCTGGTCAGCTATCTGACCACCCCCAGAGGAGGCCTGGAGCATAAGGTGTGAGGGCTAAGGCTAAGGGCAGACACAAATGAATTTTTTTCCGGGGTTTAGTAGGGCCCTCATTTTACTGATAGGCAGCCTGAAGCACAGAAAAGAGAAAGTTGCTTGCCCAGATGTCACAAAGGTAGAAAAGCATAATTCAAACCTATGGCACCAAATCAAAAATGTACTATTTGAATCTTAAGATCCTTGACTCCAAATCCAGTCAACTTTCTAACCATTCCAAATATTGCAATGTTTGCTCTTATATTACTAGTACATCATAGAGGCAGTTTAGTGCCTTGGAAAGAATGCTGCCTTTGGTGTCTAGAAGACCTGAGTTTAAGTCATGTTTCTGTTTACTTGCTAGAGGTATGACATTCTGAATTTTTGTATTCCTCAGAGCACAGCATAATGCTCAGAACAAGCCTTCAATTAATGCTTATTAAATAAAAGAATGAATGAAAGAGGGTAGGAGGCATCCCATGTCCTCATAGGATAGAAGAAATCACCCATTTTGGAGAACAGGTGACCTAACAGAGTAGTAGAAAGACCCCTGAATTTTCACTGAGGTGATCCACTTTGAATTCTAGGTTTGCTACTTATTACACAGATGACCTTGGGAAGTTTTCTTCTCTCTAGGCCTCAGTTTCTTCATCTATAAAATTAGATGATTTATAGGTGATCTTTAAAGCCTCTTCCAGCTCTAAGGCCTATATCTGAGTCTATGAATGTTTCCCAAATGTGAAATTACAGCTGCTTCATTTAGATGCAAAAGAACTACAAAGCTCTTCAATGTGGCTTCTGGGTTTTTTTAAGTATATATAAGGAAAGGCTGTATTTTTAAAATAATACACAGAAGAGAACAGAAGGAAGTTCAGAAGGAAGCACAAACATGGCAGTTTTGAAAGTAACATAGAATTTATTATATATATATTTTTACTGAATCATGCAGTATGAAATGGAGACTCAGTTTTATAAAAAAAAATCTTGTTTTGGGGTTCTGATATATATGTGTGTGTGTATGTGTGAATATATATATATATGTATATATATATATATGTGTGTGTGTGTGTGTATGTATATATATATATACATGTACATGGAAAATTATCTCTCACTCTCTCTCCAGAATGAAAACAAATAAAAATTAAGAAAAAGGATATGGGTCCCTTTTTTTTTTTACCAAGGACCATGAGCTCACAAGAGGAGGAAAAAACAATCCAATATGGTAAGTAAAAAGCAACTTGTTTGATTTCAGATTGGGTGGGGAAGGATTGTAGGAGAAATATAAATATACATAAGCCTTTAAAATGTTTATAACATGCAGCATAAAATTAACTAATAAGCACATCAAAAATATAAATTTCTTCATTCTGATCTCTTGGAATCCCTAGTTTCCTGGTGTCTCATTTCAAGCACAGACTTCTATATGAAACCTTTCCTGATCTCCCCAACTGCTAATACACTTAACTGCTATCTGTTTTAGTTTCCTTATTTTTAAAATGGGGATAATAGTTAACACTTACCTTCGAGAGCATTGTGAGATTAAAATGAGATAATATTTGTAAAGTGCTTTGCAAACCTTAAAATTTTATATAATTACTAGCCATTATTATTACATCCCCTCCAAAAAATGACCTTTCATATATATTTATGTATTTTGCATATACTTAAAAACATACATGTTTTCGCCATTGGAATATAAGCTTTTTGAGGACAAGAGCTATTTTGAAGGGCCAGGCACATAGTAGGTTCTTAATAAATGCTTGCTGATTGACAAGCATTTTCAAAGTATGGGCAGTTAAGTTGAAAGGGAGACAGTAGGAAGAGGAGAGAAAAAGAGAGAAGATGAGGGCCAGATGATTTAGATATATAGAAACTTTGCTTAAAGAGAGGAAAGGAGAGAATTACAAGAGAGCATGGACAATGAAAGATACAAATACTAGAAGGAAATAGACTCAAGGAAGTTCATATGAAAAAGAACTGAGTTCTCAAAAGATTGCAAGCCTCTATTAGTTAACAGGGTGGCATGAGAGCCAAACAAACAAACAAACAAAAAAAACCCTAATGTAATTTTAGGCTACATTATATATACTTTTAAAAAAAGTATGGTGTAGTGACCAGAATAAGAATGGTGACAGACCCAGTAGACACCATCTTGGTCAGATGACATCTAGAATATTTTATTCAAAGCTTCATATTTATGAGGGACATTGAGAAGCTAGAGTACATCGAGAGAAGGGGTTACCAGCATGGCAAGGGGACTGGAGACCATGTTCTCAATTTCTGAAAAGTAATTTTCTATTAAATTTATCTTTTTAGATATTCTTTCTTTGAGGTAAAGACTTTAAAATACACAATGTATCTGGTAAATGTAAAGGAAACACATAACTAAGACAATTAGCAACTTTATTTTTAGAATATCAAAACAGAATCTTGCATTGTCACTGAGATTATTTTTAGAAGCATTTTATAGCCTGAAACATTAATAAACTATAATTAATTATTTGGAGGAAGATTCCTTCCTCCCTCTTCCTCAAATACTAAATTTTGCTTCATTCTTTTAGGGGAAACTAACTACCATCAGAAATTTAATTAGGAATTCTGAGAAAAGAGATGCTTTTTATGATAGGCCATCTTTTGTTGTTGCTTGGTTGTTTCAGTCATGTCAGACTCTTCATGACTCCATTTTAGGATTTTCTTGGCCAAGATCCTGCAGTAGTTTGTCATTTCCTTTTCCATTTTATTTTACAGATAAGAAACTGAGGTAAATAGGATAAGTGATTTGAAGGGTCAAATTTGAACTCATGATGATGAGTCTTCCTGATTCCAAGCCCAGAACTCTTATCTATTATGCCACCTAGCTGCTATCTTTAGGATCTAACTTTTCAAACCTGTTTTAAAGAACCTTTCAAAGATGCAAGAAAAGGTATACTTATAATAATGTCATGAATGTAAGATGGAATATATAGAGAGAAATGAACCCTCTCTTATTTTACAAACACTAGTCAAGCTAACAGAAAGAGATTCCAATCATACTCATATAGTGAATTTCATTTGAGAGTTTTAGAGAGTTTAGCAAATATAACAACAAACAACATACCAATGCATTAAGAAAAGCACCCTGCTAATTCATGCTACTGATAGTTCAAATTACCACATATAAATGGTCAAACACATTTTTAGAAGAATGAAAAATTAACATTGGTGGCTTGAGTAAACAGAGCTCCTTGGAGACAGGAATAGTTATAGCCTCATATTACTATAAGAAGCTATCAATAAAGAAAGTGAACATGCAAACCTGAGGGAAATACAAGCTGGTAGTCCAGAGTTAATGGCCTTCAATTATGAACTGGGAAAAATGTTTAATGGTAATGCCAAAGTTTCATTGAAGCTGGAGATCTTCTAGATCAGTGGTGTCCAAATTTTTTTGATCACCCCATCAGTAATTTTTTTTTACTTGTACTCTAATATGTTCATAAATATACGTGGGTCCATACACAGGTAATAATAATGTGCATTATACAACTAATAAAAATGGAAATTGAAAAGATGAAATAATATTTTATCAGAGTTGGCAGGGAACCAATAGAATTTATTGAGAAGGGGAGCAACATAATCAGAACTGTGTGGAGGATGGAGAGAGGAGAGTGGGGAGAGACTTCAGTCAGAGAGATCAGTTATGAGCTTGAATGAGGGTGGTGGCTCTGTGAGTGGAGAAAGGGGCATGGATGAGAGAAATATTAAGGAGGTAGACAACAAAATTTGGGTTATGTGGGTTGTAGTAGAGTGAAGATTTGAATATGACAGCAAGATTATGCACTTCAGTGATTGAAAGGATGGTTGCGCCCTTGACAGCGATAAAGACATTCAAAAGTGGGGTGAGTTTGAAGGAAAGATAATATGAGATTTTGTGATGTAAATTAAATCCCAGCCATGCAAACTGATCCTGTGCAGCTCTGTCCCACCAAAAATGAAATGGGGAGGGGCAAGGTAGAGTTATTACTTATTATTATCTTGTGTAGCAGGTCAATCCTGGGAGCACAGAGGCCACCCGAAGGTGCTTGCCACAGTTGAGGTGATGGGTTGCAGGGTGCATGTATGCTGGTGGGGGGGTCAACTGGAGAGAATGAAGCCCAAGGCAGAAGAAGAGAAATAAAGAGCTTAGGAAATAGAGTGAAAAGGTAGGGTGGGGAAAAGACTCTACAATTGGATATCCAGGGGGAAAAGTGGGATTCAACCCATCTTGTTACTCTCCAGTTGGTTACCCCTTGGGTCCAAGTCATAGCTACCTTGGTATCATTCTATGACCTATCGGGACTGTATCTTTGGAAGCCACAAGCCTTATTTTGGGAGATTCCAGAACAAATTACATCACTGATGTAGACTTCAAAAGATCATAGACTGAGATAAAATTGAAGATTCAAGGAGGCTTCTACATTTGTGGTCATCTTATGTTCCTCTTCCTTCATCATGTCTTTTGTGAGTTTTTTAAAATAATTAATTCATTTATTTTTAGTTTTCAACATTTACTTCCATAAAATTTTGAGGTTTACATTTTCTCTCCCTCCCTTTCCTCCCCCCACCCCCGATGGCATGCAATTTGATATAGGCTCTACTTATACATTAATATTAAGCATATTTTCCCATTAGTCATGATGTAAAGAACAATTAGAACCAATGGAAGAAAGCACAAGAATGCAACAATAAAACAAAACAACAAAGGAAAAGGAGAGCAAATAGTATGCTTCCATCTGCATTCAGACTCCATAGTTCTTTCTCTAGACGTGGACAGTATTTTCTATCGTGAGTCTTTTGGAGTTGTCTTAGATCCTTGTATTGCTGAGAAGGGCTAAGTCTATCAAAGTCAGTCATCACACAATGTGGCTGTTACTGTGTACAATGTCCTCCTGGTGCTGCTCATTTCATTCAGCATCAGTCCATCCAAGTCTTTCTGGGGTTTTCTGAAGTCTGCCTGTTCATCATTTCTTATAGCACAATAATATTCCATTACATTCATATACCACAATTTGTTCAGCCATTCCCCAATTGATGGGCATCCTCTCAATTTCCAATTCTTTGCCACCACAAAAAGAGCTGCTATAAATATTTTTGTACGTGTGACCCCTTTCCCCATTTTTATGATCTCTTTGGGATACAACCCTAGAAGTGCTATTGCTGGGTCAAAGAGTATGCACAATTTTATAGCCCTTTGGGCATAGGTCCAAATTGCTCTCTAGAATGGTTGGATCAGTTCACAACACCACCAACAATGCATTAGTGTTCCAATTTTCCCACATCTTCTCCAACATTTATCATTGTCCTGTTCTGTCATGTTAGCCAATCTGATAGGTGTGATGTGGTACCTCAGAGTCATTTTGGTTTGCATTTCTCTAATCAATAGTGATTTAGAGAATTTTCCATTTTCATTTATCATATAGATAGTTTTAGTTTCTTCCTCTGAAAATTGCCTGTTCATATCCTTTGATCAACTGAGGAATGACTTGCATTCTTATAAATTTGACTCAGTTCTCTATCTATTTTAGAAATGAGGCTTTTATCAGAGACACTGATTATAAAAATTCTTTCCCAGTTTTCTGCTTCCCTCCTAATTTTCGATGCATTGGCTTTGTGTAAAAACTTGTCAATTTAATGTAATCAAAATTATTCATTTTTCATTTCATAATATTCTCTATTTCATGTTTGGTCATAAATTCTTCCCTTCTCCATGGATCTGAAAGGTAAACTATTCCTTGCTCTCCTTGTTTGCTTATAGTATCAGTCTTTATATCTAAATCCTGTACCCATTTTGACTTTATCTTGATATAGGGTGTAAGATGTTGGGCTATGCCCAGTTTCTGCCATACTGTTTTCCGGTTTTCCCAGCAGTTTTTGTTACATAGTGATTGCTTATTCCAGATATCTTTGGGTTTATCAAACAGTAGATTACTATGGTCATTGACTGCTGTGTCTTGCGTACCTAACCTATTCCACTGATCCACCACTCTGTTTCTTAAAGCCAGTACCAAGTAGTTTTGATGATCACTGCTATGTAATACAGTTTTAGATCTGGTACAGCTAGGCCACCTTCCCTTGGATTTCTTTTCATTAATTCCCTTGATATTCTGGACTTTTTGTCCTTCCAGATGAATTTAGTTATTGTTTTTTCTAGCTCTATAAAATAATTTTTGGTAGTTTGATTGGTATGGGACTGAATAAGTAAATTAATTTAGGTAGAATTGTCATTTTTATTATTTTAGCTCGACCCTACCCATGAGCAACTGATATTTTTCCAATTATTTAGATCTGACTTTATTTGTGTGAAAAGTGTTTTGTAATTGTGTTCATAGGGTTTCTGGTTTTGTTTTAGCAGGTAGGCTCCCAAATATTTTATAATGTCTACAGTAATTTTAAATGGAATTTCTCTATTTCTTGCTGTTGGGCTTTGTTAGTAATATATAGAAATGCCAATGATTTGGTGTGGGTTTATTTTATATCCTGCAACTTTGCTGAATGTATTTATTATTTCAAGTATTTTTTTACTTGATTCTCTAGTATTCTCTAAGAATACCATCATATCATCTGCCAAGAGTGATAACTTTGTTTCTTCTTTGCCTATTCTAATTCCTTCAATTTCTTTTTCTTCTCTGATTAGTACAGCTAACATTTCTAGCATATTATTGAATAACAGTGGTGATAATGGATATCCTTGTTTCACCCTCCCCCCATCTTACTGGAACTGCTTCTAGCTTATCCCCATTACATATAATGCTTGCTGATGGTTTTTGATTGCTATCTATCATTTTAAGGAAGACTCCATTTATTCATATGCTGTCTAGTGTTTTTAATAGGAATGGGTGTTGTGTTTTGTCAAATGCTTTTTCTGCATCTATTGAGAAAATCATATAATTTCTGTTTTGCTGTTGACGTGGTCACTTATGCTGATAGTTTTCCTAATATTGAACCAGCCCTGCATTCCTGCTATAAATCCTACCTGGTCATAGTATATTATCCTCGAGATAAGTTGTTGTAATCGCTTTGCTAATATTTTATTTAAAATTTTTGCATCTGTAGTCATTAGGGAAATTGGTCTATGATTTTCTTTCTCTGTTTTGGCTCTTCCCGGTTTAAGTATCAGCACTATATTTGTATCATAAAAAGAATTTGGTAGGACTCCTTCTTCACCAATTTCCCAAATAGCTTATATAGTATTGGAATAATTTGTTCTTTAAATGTTTGGTAGAATTCACTTGTAAATCTATCTGGCCCTGGAGA